CCTTTAGTTTGTTACATTAGGTACTTCCAAAAGTGAGGATTAAGGGCTAAAATCGGGAGAATTGATTCTGTGCTGAGAAGCAGATGGATTCTCCAGAACCTTCCCACAACTCTGCAGAGCTGCGGGATGGCTTTTTTCCGGTCCTCACAAAAGATGAGAAGTCTGTTTTGGAAAGAATATTTTTAAAAGACTTTGAATAAAGGTCAGCCTAGTGTGAGTTAAAGAAACCATGCATACTAAAAAATGAATCAAGTGAAAACTTACTTACTGGATACAAAAACTGTTACTGGCATTCACATTTATAATCACTATGCAAGGTTCTGTAAGCATCTTCTCTAAAAAATATGACTAGTCCAAGAAAAGAGACCAAAAGTTTTTCACTGGAGTGTCCCCCTCAGAAAACATCTGGGTAGAGCACCCTAACAGGGTAACTGTAGTTGACAAACTTGTTTTCTTAGATGTAGAGCTTCACTTAACTTTTCATAACCTGTTCTTAAATATAGGTGAACAGCTAGTGATCATCAGATATTTGAGGAAAGTTTCTAATAAGATAGATTTAATAGAAATATATTCTATGTGGTGGTGGTGGTGGTGGTGGTATGCCGTGGAGTCGGTTCCAACTCATACCCACCCTATATAGGGTTTCCGAGGCTATAAATTTTTATGGGTGCAGAAAACCTCCGCTTTCTCCTGCGGAACCACTGATAGTTTTGAACTGCTGATATTGAAATTAGCAGCCCGACGACACTGCCAGCGTTCCTTAGATTCTATGTAGGAAGAACAAAAAATGTTTGAAAACAAAAAAAAACTAGAATGAATATTCTCAGCTTGTTGTTGTTGGTAAGTGCTGTTAAGAAAAGATAATCATCCATAATGCAAGAAAAGGATAATATACAAAAGAAACATTAAAAGAATGAAAAGTTCTATTAAAAATATGATCACACAGTAAAAACTTGGTAAGTTAGAAAATAAATCTCTCAAAAAGGAGAATAAAAAGAAATGAAAGTTATGAAATAGGAATAAAAAGGTACAATCAGAAAATTATTCTAGGAGGACTTAACATCCAAATAATAAAAGAAATTCTACCAAGAGAATAGAGAAACCAAAGAGAAGAAATCATCATAGAAATAAGTGAAAATTTCCCATAATCAAAGAGCATAATTTTCTAAATAAAATGGTTTTTCCAGTTATCCAGCAGCAACACAGATGAAAACAATTCTAAACCAAGGTATATCATTATGAAATTTCAGATCACTGAAGAACAAAGAAGATCCGAAAACCAGAGGGAGGGAAAAACTAACACATAGTATCTGAACTACAAATGCCTTTATATCAGGCGGGGATGCTTCAAAAAGTTTGTGGAAAATGGAATGGAAGCCCCTCATATTTGTAAGCAACAACATTGGAAGTTGGGGAACCGTTTCTTAAAACTTATGCAAGACAGTTATTTTCAATTGACAAATTTACCTTTGGTCAAACTGCATATTAAATTTGAGAGTAGAATAACATTTTCAGATAGGCAAAAATAATATACTTTCCCTGTCTTCCGTGTATATTTCTCATGAACTTTTCTGGAGACTTTAGAGGGTGTTGTGTTGTTGTTATATGCGAACAAGTTGGTTCCAACTTATAGCAACCCTGTATAGGATTTTCAAGGAGCAGTTGTTGGGTTTGATCCTCTGGCCTTGCAGTTCAAACTGACCTTGCAGTCCAGTGCATTATCCTTCAGTGCCACACCAGGACTCCTTAGAGGGTGTACTCACACAAAATGAAGATGTGAAGCAAGGAAAATGAAGATTTGGGAAAACAGGGAGACAATTGCAAGAGAAAGATAATTTTCAGAATGAAGGAATAGGAGATCCTGTAACAAATGATATAGGGACAATTAAAATTCCAGGAGAGAAAAGTCCAAGAAGACAAATTATGGTGTGGTGCTGCAGTATAATGCACTGGACCTTGAGTTACAAAGTAGGTGGTTCAAACTCACTAGCCCCTCTTTGGAAACCCTATACAGGGTCGCTATGAATCAGAACCAGTGGCACATAACTACATCAATGGTGCTGGGTATTGAAAGACCATTTTATTGGAAAATTATGCCCCTTGAAAAGCAGTAGAATACCAAATGTGTTTTGATGTATTGAAAGGAAAAGAAATTTATATACGGGGGCAGAAACTGGAGATTAGATAGCCATGTTATTGTTGTTAGGTGCCATCGGGTTGGTACTGACTCATATCACAACAGAACGAAACACTGCCTGATCCTGGGCCAACCTCACAATTGTTGCCATGCTATATCCCACTGATGCTGCCACTTTGCCAATCCATCTCTCTGGGGGTCTTCCTCTTCTCTGACCTTCCACCTTACCAAACATGATATCCTTCTCCAACTATTGGTCCCTCCGAAGTATGAGAGACAGTGTTTGGCCATCCTGGTCTCCAAGGAGCACTCTGGCTGCACTTTTTCCAACACAGATCTGTTGGTTCTTTTAGATAGCCATAAGTACACAGAAAATCAAAGGAAACCAAAAAGTTAACCTTTAGCTCAACAGGGAACTAAAAGTTATAGAGGAAAGGTAAAGTAATCATAATGTATTGCTTGTCAGTGTTGACCGTCAACTTTAACCAACAAAGCCTTAGACCCTTGAAATGCCTTCCTGAGCACACTTCCCAAGCTTGGAATGGGCAGTGTAGACCAGTAAACTGAGCCCATGATTGACAGCCTTTACGATCTTCAACTTGACCTCATTGGACTTTACCAAGAGCCTTGATAGCCTCGGCAGATGCATCGATGACCTTGGCATTGTTGGCTTGCATCTTCTTCAGGCCCATCTTGTGCCTCTTGACAAAGTGCGTGTTCATCAGGAACTTGGGGTCCACTCCTTTAAGAAACTCATATAGTCGTGATCCAGGTTTTTTGATGCCATTTCTGTGCCATGACTGGTTATTCATGGCATGGTTCTCGGACTTGGCCATGTCAGCATCATTGCCTGCTGCTTCCAGTGCATCAGAGATCAGGAGAGCCTTCAGTTCAATTATTGTCCAATCTTTGCAGTCATGGCACTGTGGGCCAATGTGCTGGACTGCAAGGTCAGCTGTTCAGGCTCACCAGCCGCTCCTTGGAAACCCTATATAGAGTCTCTATTATTTGGAATTACTGTGAGACTACCTTACTTTTGCCTACCTAAAACTAATACTAGTTTACTGGTAGCGTAGTGGTTACGAATCAGGCTGCAAACCTTAAGGTCAGCGGTTCGAAACTACCAGCC